TAAATTAATGAAGACTGTCAGAGGTTGACGAGTAATGATGAACCTTGTGACTGCCCGTTCGTTCGCTCCGTACTTCTCTGTAACTTCAGAATTATTCATAATATCATATGATATTTACCTGGGTTATTATTATATAAACATTTAATATAAAATAATAGAGATTACGTCACTCGGTCTGTTGTCATTTGAAAGTATACGTAAATATATTACTATATCCCTTGAATTCCCATTCAATTACTGAAAAAAAAACAACAACAACAAAGTACTAAAAAGGGTTAACGAAATTTATAGATCATCGAATTATTTTCATAACAGCGAATTCTACTTTCCACTTCGAAAACGTATGTTATATGCTCATTCGGGAACGAAGCACTATGGAGACAGAGTCGAGGAGTATTAGTTGCACAATCGTTCAGGTTAACTCACCTGTCGTGTATGAAGAAACAGGCATATATTTGTGTTGCTGAGTCGTGAATTACTGTCCATACTTTTTCATTCTGTTCTCTTTGGACTTGGCACAGAGCCGCCCAACCTTGGCCTACTCCACATCATGAATGAGCTTTTAAAGTTTCTGGGAAATTAAATGCGTAAGATAGTATGACTTAACAAAACGTTTACTTTTCTCGTAGATCCCCACGCACAGCCAAACTGATCGAATGGCCAAGTTGTTTATGAATCACCAATAAAATCAAACACACTTGCCTTTAGTTAACGAACAGTGAAATTTTGATACACAATTTTACTACAATAGTCTAAATAAATTTTGATAACTACACACACCCGATGACAAAAACCTGCCATGTGAAATGATGGAATTCAGAAAACAATTACTAGGTTCGAAAAGGAAAGTGTTTGGTAAAAGCCTTCAAATATACCACAACTTCTCATAAGTTATTTATTTCATGCTAAGTGACAATCAAATTTTCATATATGGTGAATCATATGATACGTAATAATCACGGAATGATAAATCAATGATGGCATTAAATGCAGGGAAATATCTAACCCGTGCAACTATAGGGATTGAAATCCCGATAGTACACACAAATGAGGACGCGTTCACTTAGTTCTAATCTTAAAAAAAATAATTTCGCAAAAAAATACCATTTTTCTTCCTGAACTTTCTTTTTAACAACTTTTTTCACTTAAAGATGTCCCTGCGTCCGAAATCTATAAGTTAAATAAAAGTAAAACTTAAAAAAATGGGTGTTTTTTTATTTTACAGTATTTTCATTAACTGTAACTAACGTATTCTTTGAAGTAGTAGCATATTAATATTGTTAAAAATAACAATGACAACATTTATTTTCCTCAACCCCTTTGTCCCTCGTTCACTTTTTCAGCCGTGGGATCCCTCCCCGCCTGAAAGCGACCGTTTTCTTGAAGCCTCTATGGTCCCTGTAGGAAGAAGTGACGTACGTAACTATCAGAAAGCTCGCCGTGTCGTTCAGAAACACCCTGACCGCGGAGCAAAAAGACCGCGGAGCGGACTGAAATGCTGAAGTGCGGCGCTGAACTAGTCCTATGCTTGGGCTGCGCTCGTGCTGAGCGCGAGCTGAGCTTAGCTTGAGCTGAGCTTAGCTTGAGCTGAGCTTAGCTTGAGCTGAGCTTAGCTTGAGCTGAGCTGAGCTTGAGCTGAGCTTGAGCTGCGCTCGTGTGTGCTCGTGCTGCGCTCGCGGAAGCGCGAGAAGGCGCGGCGGGGCCTCGAACCCGCGCCCCGAATAAGGTGCCGAGCCACCCGGGCGCCGCACGGTGGGCCGGAAAGGCACAAGAAAGGGGCGAAATTAATTTCTTCGAATCTAGGCGTTCATTTTTTGTACTAAAAGTCCAGCAAACAATGACTCAACGAAATGTTAACATTTAGCCATACAATGTTAAATACTCATAAATGTGTAAATTAAAATATAAGTCAGATACTAAAATTATTTACAAAAATGCATCAGTATGATTGGAGTGTGGAAGAGGTAAAAGCATATACAACAATAACAGTCACAACATTTCGACGGCACAACTGTTGAAGTAAAAGTAATAACAGTCACAACGTTTCGGTCGCACTTTTGTGTCTATCTTCAGGGATCCTAAAATGAAAAATACAATCGACCAAAAATATGATCAAAAATATAATCAAAAAACAAAGGACAAACGTATAACGTTGCGCCAGAATTGAAGCGTACTCCTGAAGGTAGCATGTGTGACAATGATTGACTAGTAAAATTTTACAAGAAAGTACCAAACCGTAGAATAAACACATGCCGAATGACGCAGATAGGTTACAAAACTCGCAACCACAACTGAAAGTTTGAAATCGGACTAATGTATGTACTCAAGTGTATGTACTTCGGCGTGGAGAGACAAGGTGGTGTTGAGTAGTAGTGAGACCACTGAAAATCTTGTCGCGTTTTCTCGGTTGTAATTAATTTATTGCACAAATACACATTTTAATTGATGTCCTTTCTTCTTATTAATTATTTTTGGTTACAATATTATTAGAAAATTATTTATTGTGTTTATAAATGTTTTAATACACTTTGATTCTCATAAATTATACTTAATAACTCTGATATTAGTGTCATATTAAGAGTTACTATGATACGAGTGTTCTAATAATCTATGGCCAACTGTTATAAGCAATAATAAGTAACATCAAAACAAATCCATGTTCTCGCGTAAAATAATGTCAACAGAGAAATATCACCTTTCGCAAAACAAATTGCCAAAATTAAACGAAAATTTTGTTTCATTGGACGTTTTACAAGATGGATAAAACGTTATACTATATTCGTATCGTAACATCTTACGATACTTACGTTGTAAATAGGTATTGACCTGTGTACGTGATACAACGTTTACTACACCAGCAGGAATAACGACTAACATTAGACGCGCCGGGAAACACAAACTAATCAATTGTCCAATTCTATAAGGAAGATTTTGTATCCCCAGCGTTTCTCAATCGGGGCCACAGCGAGAGGCGGGCCGAGCGCTCGGTGGCGCCGAGAAGAGGGAAAGGGGAGAGGCAAGAGAAGGAGAGGAGGGGGAGGGTGAGGGGAGGGGAAGGGGGAGGGTAGGATGGGGGAGGGGGAGGGGGAGGGAGGGGGAGGGGAGGGAGAGGGAGTGGGCGTGGGCGTGGGCGGAACGGCGCGAGGCCGCTCTCCGCCGCGAATACCACAGGTGAAGGCGACTGCAGCCTTCGCCCGCTCCGGTGCATCCGCCTGCGCCCAGCTGGTGTTGCTGGCGCCGGCACTACCGCGCACCAATCAACAGGCAGCTAAACTGAGTGGAGGACGACCGTAAGCGTCATTAATTGATTTGATTTATTTATTTTGATTTATTTATTCAAAAACAGGAGAAGCTGTATGTGACGTATGGGGGAGAAAAATCAGATGCCCACGTTTTCTTGAGTTCCAGAACCTTGATTGACTTGCTTCCGGGCACGTCAACTGCAGTGATAGTAAGTCGCGTTAGTTGAGTGATTACTCATTTCAAGTACGTAAACGCCGAGACCATTGGTCCCGTAAGAATAGTGCACGTTTCTATCGAGGGAGGTGGCGGATATCTTCCCCCGCTGGATGGTGATCTACGGCAGCTTCTAAGGATTTTCCTCAACCAGGTATCTCCTTCCGACATGTCATCTTGTAACAAGTGTGTGTATGGGGTGAGGAAAGGTGAAGGACGGAGAAGGAAAGATCGCGCGCGGTCTGTGGTCCGTTTGTTAACGAACTGCTACAGCATTTTGCTGGTGTTGATCGGAGAAACTACGGAAAACTTCCGATCAGAGCAGCCAGCTACTAGAATTTTCCTACAGACAGCGTCTGAACTCGACCCAGCTATCTTGTTAGTGACGAAAATCCTACCACACTCGGGACTCGAACCCTAGGACCCCCCACAGGCACTGCAGTGACATCAGGTGATGCCCTGAGCCACTTTTACCAGTAAAAAACTGAGTGGCGAAAGACCATAAGCGTGGTTGATTAATTGATTGGTTTCCGGGCTTGTCAACTGCTATGGTAACTAGTCCCGTTAGGGCAGTGAATGTTTTATCCAAGGATGTTGCGGCGTTCAGCATACACTGGATGGTGAGATCCGGCGCCGACATACACGTCTATTTCCTCCTGCATGTATTTCCGCGCTGTCCCAAAGGAGACAGTTCAGATCTCCAACCTCCGTTGTAGAATACGTGTGTGAGTGTAAGATGAGTGCCTGCAAGTATACGTGTGTACGGGGAGAGAATAGTAGGAGGAAGAAAAGGTCCCACGCGATCCATGGCCCGTTTGTAAGGATACTACACCCTACTTTTATTGGAGAAACTACGGAAAAATATCTAATACAAAAATCGATTGATAGGATTCTACTTCAATCAGCGACTGAATTAGATCTAGCTATGCAGCCAGATCCGCCACCATCGGAGCCCTAGGACCTCCTGGTCAGAGACAGCAGCAATGTTGGCTCTGCGCTAAACTCACTGTAAGTATTAACAGTGAGAATTTGCGTTATTTGTAAGCGCATTTTTTTTAAATTTTAGTCTGTCTAAGAACTTTCAATTCTTTATACAGTTCTATGTAATACTTATTAACGCCATTGCGCAGATACAGAGCAAATAACAGACACGTTTGAAATTTGTAAGCCTATATTTGAGAGGGTGTATTTGTAGGTAAGGTTTATTACGAACCAACGACGTGATTTGTGATATAGAACAAGTGTGCATGTTATGTTGTATGAAAAAATCCTAAAAGTAAGAAATACCTTTCCTTGGATTGGGAGAATTGATAACCATCTTAAATTACAGCCTATATGCTTTCATTGTTCATAAAAGATGGCAAGTGTTTAAATTCTTAACGGACTACAAAGAATCTGTGTTATTCCCTATATCTGGTGTCGTATACAGCTGACATGTACTACGAAAAATACATTCTTAAATGTTTTTAATACAAATCAAACTTTAGCTAAACGTTTTTCGTAAATATATTTTGTAAGTTCATTTTATTTTTTGTAGTTCTTACCTAATATCTATGGAACAGGGTAAGTGTACATTCTCTCCATACGTTTGCTTTGTCCAAGCCCGTAAGGTCCTTACCTGTAAAAGAAACAATGATTTATTTAGAGCATGCTCAGAATTTAGGAGATATTATTAAGAGCTACTTTTTATTCGATCACCTCACAGCAAGGCACCAAAAGAATTCCAGAAGACATGTATGTTATTCCCTATTGTGGTAATGATTTTTATAAAACAATTTACACATTTGTGAATATTTTGTCAGAACAATTAAAGACGTCATGTTTTCGAAAAGAATTGACACATATAGCCTTTTTATAATTTATAAAAAAAAGTTAAAATTTTCGTTGATTTTGCCTGAAGAAACTGAAGAGCCTGAAGAGCCTGAAGAAACAGGTTCAAATATTTGAGATTATAATAAATTTAATAACATTTTTATTAAAAAGCCAGCGAAGCAACAAAATGTGTGACTGGCGACATTAAACCTTTCTTTTCGTACATTTCACTCGTATGTTATTGAGTGGGCGTGAGTTGATAAATTAGACCACATTGAGTATGGGTCCAATGCCAACATTCGTCATCTGTCTTAAGGGAAAACGAATTAAGACGTGCATTTTACGGCTGCAAGATCTCATACGAAAAAATATTTCTCTAAAGTGTATCTCTACCGTACACAGCAGTTCTGTGCAAAACCTTAGAAATTTCACGTTTTAAAGCTCTCGTAAACAAGTTGCAAAGGGCAGTTTGCTTTGCCAGATTGAAAGCTTCTCTTTCTCCGCGCTTCTGGAAGGAGCCTGCAACGAGTGGCGGAGTTTGCGCAGGTGCGACTCTCTCCGACCGCCACCACCGCCGCCGCTGCCGCCGCAGTAGCCGCTCCGCCCACCACCTCGACGTCGTCGTCGTCGTCGTCTGCGGTCAGAGGCGGCGGCGCCGACACCCCTCCCCGGCCCGGCCCGCCCCGCGCCGCCCACGCGCCTACACGTCGCTGCAGCTGGGGGCAATTAACCGGTGCAGTTAGATCGGGTAGCGGCCACTTGCCCCCGTAGGCGGATAGGCGCTAGGCTGTACGGGGATGGGCGGCGGCGGCGGGAGTGAGGCGACGCCACAACGCCTACTCGCTCCAGAGCGCAGGCCTCGCCGACACCGCGTGGCGCGAGGGAGCTCTTTCTGTTGGCTCGTCAAACATGATCTTCTAAGGCTTCATTTTTCATCTGGGTCCACCAGAGACGAATAATCCATTTTCAGAGGAGAGCCAAGGAGTTTTCTCAGGGAGTCTCCAGGTACAGTGAGCAGTCGACTAGTTTTCTTATAAAGAATTTTTCATTTATGCCCGATATAAACCGTATTTTTATTTCTTGAGTTTCAGTTGAGTTCAGAGATATTTATAACAAACAATTGATACATTGAATGACTTTCGTTAATTTAAACGTTAGTGAAAAGTTTATTTTTAATATATTTCATTTGCTTCTGGGGAACGATGTGCTGAGGTCCCATGAACCCTCTCTGGATGCGTCCTTGTCCAATTATATTCTTTTTGTCTTCTTAAGTGTTATTTTCTCAGAGTTATAGATAAACGAGGGTAGTGAAACTATGGAACGCTATGAAATGCCGTGAAACAAATGTCTCTCTCTGATGAAATTTATTTGAAGCGCAAATAACATCTCGCCTTCAAACTTTTATTTCTTCCAAACCAACTGAAGCTAATGGTACAATACAATAACTAAGTAGTTTGAGATTTTTTTCATGAAATTCGTCTTTAGCAATTAACTTCAAAAGTATTTTCATCAGATATAAAATATATTCTTCAGAAATTGATCGTAAAATAATTTTAGGACTTGAGTGAGTAATTCAAAATAAATTTATATGCTTCGTATTAAGAGCTCCATGTAACATACGAAATAACGAAATTCTAAAAGAAATCAAAATTATCAACTATTCATCTCTACCCTCCTGTCCCTTATCACAATATTTAATCTTGGCAAAACTTCAAATCCCTTTCTCAAAATTAAGATCCATCAGAGACCAAATATCCTACGTCGTCCCTAATTTACATTAATTTCAGATTAATTATAACTATAACCTGCCTCCTTTCAGATATAAATTAAGTAACGTAAGAAAGTAACGTAAGAACGTAAACTAAATTCTTATATATACACAGTGCGTTAATGAGATTTCCCTCATTGAATGTCATACTCGAAATGTCGTATTTGTATTATTGGAGTAAATTTCTTATTAAAGACCTTTGTAAGGCCAAAAGATCAAAGACAATAAATATAATTTTAAAAAAAGGATTTGAGTATGATTCACAAGCACAAGAGCAGGAAAAATGGAATAGGCTGGGGCGGGGGGCGTTGCCGCTTCAACCAGTGGCTGGCCATCTCCCGCCGCGCCGGGGCTGTCCTGCGGCGTCGCCCACGCCCTGTCGCGCACCTGCCGCCGTGGGCGAGCCGCGGCGCCGCGTCGATTCCAGTCGTCCGCCGAATCGCCATTTTAGGCGACCGAGCCCCCGCCCGCGCCTGCACCTCGCCGCTCACCAAGTGGGTCAGGAGGCATTTTTTTCTTGTCCCCTTGTCCCCTTGCGCCAGACACCGCGCCTCTTGCCTCGCCGCGCCTCGCCTCGCAACCGAGGCCTAGTGCGCCCCGCCTCAGCTCATCGCTAAAAGGAGGCTACACCGCAGATCACATCAACGCAGAATTTTCTCCAATTGAATCCCATTACCCGAAAGTGTAAAAGCCCCACTGTGTTTTGTATTTTTTAAAAAATCGAGCTACAGTACTAAATTTATTGTGTGAATCTCGATTAGCGTACCTCTGTATCCATGGCTTTCAAAATGACCCAATGTTAATTTGTTCTATTTTTATTAATGCATTTTCAAACCCCGATTTTCTTTCAGTCTAAACGACTTAAAAATTCCCAAATTTTGGAACTTATCAGATACTCGAACCTGTAACAGCCAAGCGATATTCTACCCATTGAACGTATTTGAGACCAAAAATAATTCTTTAAAGTACAGGGTTATGTTGCGTTATTGCAGTGCTAATATAAATAAGAACGATTCAGCCTATCTTTTAAATGGTTTAAAAATTGAAATAAATAATTTTTTTCTAATTCTCACCACTAGAATTCTCTTCTTCTTCTTCTTCTTCTTCTTCTTCTTCTTCTTCTTCTTCTCCTCCTCCTTCACATTTTGAGCTTGAATTTGCCACTACAGGTGTCCTCACTCTATTACTGATGAAGCATTTAATCCATATTTCCGTGTCTGAGTGCAGTTTAAGGAGGAAACTAACTTCTTTCATGGCAGTGCAAATTGACACGGTAGTCCTTTCCCTTTGTCTTTCACTGAATATCTCACAGTTCAAATAAACATGATGGGGGGTGTTTTCCCATCACCGCAATAAGCTCAGGTTACTAACACTTCAAGCTTATTTCGTAGATATTATCCCTTCAGACTTTCAATACTTAGACATCAATGTTTAATTAAAATAATATTTTAATTTTAAAATTAATAATAAAAATTGAAAACTGACCATTCATTCATACTTTTTCAACATTGAATATAAAACATATTTCTGATTCAATTTCCTTTCCGAAAAACGATTCTTCGTCATCAAGTTATTGAACGAAAAAAATAACATAAAACAAAATTTTGAACACGCTATGTGTAATAATCGTTTTATTTCTCGGCCGTTGAATATTTTTTCTCTTCTTTTCGTGTTTTCGTATCTCGAATTGGCGCTTCAAAATCACGTTTTCGTGTCCACACCTTGTTTGTGCGTCTCAATTCTTACCACGCTTTTCTCTTCTACAACAGAACGTCCACTTGTTTGTTGTTCTCGGCAGATCGAAATTACCCCAATCGCAGTCTCGGGAAATTGCAGCCACGGAAAAGCACGACGTGCAAGGAGGCGGGGGTGAGGATGGGCGGGGGTGAGGACTTAAAGCGATAATTTAGCAGAGCAGACGATCGTGCAGGCGGCGTGCCTTCTGCGCAGGCGCAGACGCTCAATTCGTGGGGCATCGCCGCGACCTCTGCCCTCTGGCGGCCGGGGCGGAGAAGGCAAGTGGAGAGTGGCGGTGAGCTGGAGGCGGTGTCTGTGGCGATAGAGGTGGAGGTGGTGATGGAGACTGTGGCACAGGCGGAGGTAAAGGTAGATGGTGGAAGTCAAGTTGGAGTTGGTGTGGGCAATGGGGTGAAGGGGGGGTAATGAAGGAGGACAATGAAGAAGGGGTGGGAGTGGGGATGAGGTGGGGTGGCCGTGGCAGTGAGGCAAAAGACACGGCAGCGCCGATGGCGGCGGCTGGAGCGGTGTTGATGTTGATAGTGATGGTGGTGGTGGAGGAGAGGGGAAAGCGGAGGTAGAAGTGACGGAGCAGAGGCGAAGGTAGCGGTGGAAGCGGCGGTGGAGGAGGAGGAGACGGTGGGAGTGGAGATAGGGTAAGACTGCTAAGTGCTCTGGGGTCTGTGAACTTTGCGTGATATTCCAATGCAACGTGGGAGTGCGTAGTCCAACTGAAGCAAACGCGTATTACGTTGGCCACTGCGTTTGTAATGCAGATCGCTGTGTGTAGTTCTACAGGCCACAGACATAATCAGTGCCAGGAAAGACGGACATGCTGATAAATGAGGGACAAACTTAATTGACTGCAAGTTGCATCTCTATCAACAGCATTCATTACACTATAATCTATAAAAATATAATAAATGAGCCGTGTGAAGTTTTAAAGGCTATATATATAAAAGAAATGGAAACTTAAAAAGACGTATTCTGAACTTCGTTCATTGTGCTCGGAAACATGGTAATATTCCTCAGTTACAGATAAGCGCCTAGAGTAATATTGTGATAACAGAAATCATGACTTCAATTTGTAAGCTTTATGACCAAGGGTCTGAGTTGATATGAGTCAAGGTAAAATTGTAATTATATGCATACAAACACAGAATTGATTAAGATTGTTTCCTAGTATTCGACTTCCCATCGTTGGCCATGTACGGGTCAAATTTTAAAATAAATATCCAGTAATATATAAAACATACTTGTTCATTATTCGCCACATAACAAAACTGGATAGAAACAAAATTAATTATCAATTATTTTTAAGTTTAATAAAAAAAATTAAAATTAAAAAAATTGCTTGACAATCATCAATGCTTCTTCAATGTTTGCCTACGTCATGCATACGTACTCTCCGTCATTATATTGTACTGTACCCTTGATAGAGTTACGTACATTCTTTAACATTTTAAATGTTCAGTAAGAATTAACTTTGATTCAGTAGCTTCTTAGAAAAAAAAAGATTTACTAAACGTGTTCATTGTTCGTTAGTTATGAATTTGTCATTCATAATGTACCACGAATCAATTCCACAGCTCTCTTCTCTAATGAAGATCAAACTGCCCACTTCGCTGTTAGGCGCAATCGCACCACTCTTGCCATTATGCTATCACAACGCCCACGCTGCCGGCGTGCCCCGGCCCGGGCGGGCGGGCGGCGCAGCGGTCTATTTGCGGATTGCGTATCGAATGGGGCAACAAGAGGCAGCTGGCGTTTCGCGACGCAGCGGAGGCGAAGGGGAAGAAGAGCAGGGCACCGCCCACTTGCCGCCCGCCGCCGCCCGCCGCCCACTGCCTGCCGGCGCCGCCTCTGCCAACGCACCCGACACCTACAAACCTATTTCTTACCGCCTCCTTCCCGCAGCTCCAGCCCCAAGCACTCCTCTAGCGCCCTACCCACCGCCCTTTACCTAATGCCTTCTTCCCATCTCTCTTGCTCATTTCACATTGTCCGTAGACCGCTGTCCACCACCCCTTCCTTCGCCTCTTTCTCACGGGCTCTTACTTACCTCCACTGCCCACAGCCCCCTGCCAATCACAACGTATTCACAGCCTCATCTTCATTGTCTTATCCTACGCGCCTTATCCATTTATCGTGCCCAAAGTACAAGGCCCCGCATACACCGATCTTTATTCACCGCCCCTTTCTTCTATTTCCCTTACCCTCCTTTTAATCACCACTGAGGACCTATCACCATCTTCCGCCAATCGCCTTCTACCCATCTCTTCTGACATTCAAACATATTCTCTACCTATCATCCCTTACACTAGATGTCCTACCCATCCAGCTCCCCTCTGGGCCCTTGAATCCCAGCGACTACCCGCTGCATGCTCCGTCCTCCGTCTCCTTCCTGCGGACGCTCCACCCGGCGCCGGCCGCAGCCAATGGGCGGAGCAGGGAGCGTCTATCTTGGAACCTCATGAAACGTAAGCAGCGAAGGGGAGCGAGCAGCTGCTGTCATTCTAACAAGTGCAACGTAAAAAGACGCGTGTTTATTCTGAGACAAGTGATGATATTTCCACATCCTCAGTTTATTGCATTCATTTGAGGGGAACTGAAGCAAAATGTTTTGTCAACTGCCTATTGGCCAATTGAAAAGAAAGTTATTCATAAGGAATAATTACGAAGAAAACTTCGAATTTTAGATAGGTTACATTGCAATTAAATATAGATATAACATTCCTTATGTTGTTAAATGTAAACATTATGGAAGTTATTAAGTTACAATACGCAAATAACATTAGTAAAGTAAGTCTAGTAAAACGTAAACAATAAAGAAATTCTGAAATATAGGTTCCGGAAGATTTTTTTTAGAAAAAGAAAAATTCAAATGACATCACGCAAACAACTGTACTAAAACCCCGAATCATTCTCTGAATTCGAGGGCTTGAGAAGAAACATAAAAAAGGGGACGGCTGAAACCCCTCTTGAATTAAAAAATTGCCGTTTAATGCAGTGTACAAGTTTAAAAGAACTAATATTACATGTACTGTTTAAAAAGTATTAAGTACATTTTATCGAGTTCTTCCATATCGCGAGGCAACGAAAATGTGTCACAATGTTATAAATTGGTCTTGAGTTGGAGTGTGTGTGTGTGTGTGTGTGTGAGTGGTGGGTTGGTTGGTTAGTTGGTTGGTGTTGGTGTTGATGTGATTGAGGTATATCTTAGTCTTCAGTTTTTTCGTCAGATATTCACTTGCCGACCTGTTCCCGAAAGAAAACTGCAACGTGAACGAAATGTACCAGTGGTGTAACGTGACGCAGACAGAGTAAACACCGTCTATCCGTTGAAGAATAACTAAAAGGATATAAATAAAATTTGTCATTGTGTCTATACAATATTATTTTATCATTGAGAATATGGAAGGTAGAAGCTCGGGCAGAAATTTCGAAGTGTTTAATTTTCCCTAATTCAATTCTGCGCGCACATCGCAGTGAGACCGGGCACAGCAAGTGATGGGATAGACGTGGGCTATTCAGAAAAATCTTTTCGCAAAATATAGCGTTTCTTCTACTCCGTCCTTTACGGTACATCTTGACCCCCCTCCCCAAAGCGTACATTTCAAATTTAATGACATGATATCCTTTTTATTAATTTTAACATTAATTTTTAATTGTAGTTAATATAATAATCACAAAATACGGGGATAAGTTCATTTTTCATTAAACCTTCCCTTGCCCTTGACTGTCTTTACAGTTGCGTGAACACCCACCTTCTCTAAAAACTAAAGTACTTTTTGAATGGTCCGGGAACATCTCTATATGATAGATTCCACCGCATTTGAGTGTTCTAGTTTGCGTCATTCTTTAACATTTTTTAATAAAGTATTTAGTAACTGAACCCATGAACATGTACAGTGTCGAGTACGTTAATCACGCGATAACTCTATTTGGGGGCATCATTTTGTAAAATTCCTGCCTTGGCGCTGCTGAGTACGCGTTTAATTTTTTCTCGCTCCGACACTGGGTCTCTCTGTGCATAAAGCGCACGCTCCATTTCCCCGGCCTGACGATGGCCTATGGCCTGGAGGGGCGGCGTCTGTCCGTCAGCTGCGGGTCCTTCGCGGCGCGCGACCGCCCGCGTCGCGGCGCCGCCGCCGCCGCCGCCGCCGTCCCGACGCCAGCCAGCGTCACCCGCGGCCCCTCCGCGCTGCGCGTGCAGCTGCAGCCCCGATAGCGCCGGCCCCGGGCAGGCGCAGCGGCGGAGGCCACGGCCGGGGTCGTCGCCGCGTCACACACGGTGGCAGGGCGAGCGCGCAGGCGCTGGCCGGAGGCAGGGGTGGAAACGCGGCGTAGGTGAAGGCGGAGGCGGGGACGGGGGAAGTGACGGATAGGAGGTGTACTAGACGGTGAAGGCGAGGGAGGAGGTAGAGACGGAGGAGGGCTCAGCGGTGAGGACGGTGATGGCGGCGGGAGCGGAGGTGGTGCTGAGGGGGGGGGCGGAGGCGGAGGCAAGGGCAGGC